ATTTTTTGTGGTAAAATCTGTCCATTTTTTTCCACTATGAGGGCTTTTACTTTTGATGTTAAGCCTAGAGAAGCTTCTCCAAGGAATACAAGACTCTCATAGGTGCCCCACCTGGGCGGGGGGACTGAAGTCGGCTCTAGTTGGGATTTTCAGTTGGTTGATGGTTTGGTTCCGTCTGCATAAACGGTAAATGCTGCAGGCAGGGTTGCGGAGTTTAGTAGTCCCGGTGCATGTGAGGTGGTCGGGGATCAGCAGAGAAATTTCCCAGGCACCCAAGGTGGGAGGCGCCTCCTCGTTTTGGCTCTGGTCCTGGAGGAGGCTCTTGCCTCATCACCGTTGCTAGTGCTGTTCCCGGGGGCCCTTGCAATCATCCAGGGACCCGGGGCCTGTGGAATGGCATTGGCAACAGGGCTCATCAGGGAGCCTGGGGTCCAGGGAGGAAAGCCCCCAGAGAATCAACCAGCACGGAAACCGTCCTGGGTGACTGATGCACCTGGCCCAGCCCCTGGAAACGGCTCCTCTCAGCTGTGGATCTGCCCTAGAGCCGGCGTCCCGGTTCATAAAGGCGTGCCTTCCGAGTGCCCCTGCTCTCAGAACTCACAGGCAGCCTCCGAGACAGAGGGCCCAGTGTGGGGAGGAGAGGAGGATGCTTTGGGAAGGAATTGGTGCTTCCTCCTAGGATGCCAGAGGGGCCTGGAAATTGACGCCAGTGACGTGGCTTTTGGCTCCCCTGGCACACACGGCTAGTGGGTTCTGCGGCCCCTCCCGGCGATGGAGTATATCCTCTTCGTGCTCTATTTCTCCTTCTTCCTCTGTCTCTGTGCCCTGGTCTGTCTGTACTTTTCTGGCTGCCAGGAGATGACCTACAAGCATGAAGGTAAGCGGCTGGCTTTGGGGGATTGTTCTGTGAATGTAAGTGACTGGGAGGCCCCTTCCTGTGGCAGCGGTTGGTGGGAATGACACAGAGACGAGGAGAGGGGTGGCTGGGAGAGGCTGGGGTCGGCTGAGGGGTTGGCTATATGGGAGGCGCTGGTCTTTTCCTCTCGGTCCCATTGATCTGCTAAGCATGAGCACCTGTGTATATTCAGAGTGTAAACAGAGAAGAAATGCTTATCTTTCAGTCATTTTTACCCAAACTGCATTTTAAAAATTTGGATTAGTTTGTAAAAAGGTGTCATCAAGGCAAGACTTTGGTGGGAAAGTAAATGGAAGTCTGGAGGAGTGAACCCCTTCTCTACAAGAGATGTGCTTGGAATGAGCGAACACAGAAATTTATGCCCCTGAAGTATCTTTCCTTAGGAAATGCCCAGGGAATTTGAGAATGATGGACACTCGGAGAACTCAACAGTTTCTTTCGTGCTTGACTTTTTTTAAAAGCCCACGATGGGCTGGGCATTAGAGGAAACCATGTTTTTTAGGTAATTCTCCTCTTATTCCTTGGAGGCAGGTGTTATTTTGTATATATTTTGAAAATGCAGTATAAGGCAGTAATTGCATTGTCTTCGAAGAATGCAGCCTCCAGATTTTCACTTTAAGCATTAAAATGTCTTTGTCTATTTTGTTTTTTATTAATAAAGGCATAAATATATGTATTACATTTTAGCTTGCCATATAATAACAATTACTTAAAAAATACTAACCCTTAGAGGAAACAAACTAACCCAACCCATATGTTACACAAGGTGGGGGGTGGGGCCATAGTCATCTCGCTGCTGCTGTGGAAATGTGTGTGCTCTGTGTTTGTGTATTTTCTCCTCTGCTGTTATAGGATTATAATGTGAATGCCCTTTTGTGTTTGATCTCTGCCCTCGGAGCTGCTTGCTACTTCCCTCCCTGCAGCGTGCTTCCTGGAGTCTTGGTCTCTGGAGCCGCATTATAGTTCAGGGGGCTCCAGTTGGGTCTGTCTGGAGAGAAGCTGTTTACAAAGGCAGCTCTACTTTAAACACAGTCCGCACTGTCTGTCGTTAATGCCCTGTATTAGGGCTTGGTAATCGAGTATGTAACTAGCAGTCCCGCAAGGCCTCAAAAGCAGTCATCCTGGGTGATGGGACACTGAGGCATTAGCCCCCAGAACAGTCCATGATCACAGCTCTGTGTTGGTCCTGATCGTTTGGAGAGTGTGGTTTGGTGGTTCCTGTGGCTCCATGAGTGTGCCAGGCAGGGCCCTACCTGCATTGCCACTTGCTGCCTGTCGGCACAACAGCAGATACAGACCTGTCCCCAGAGGCCCCGCAACTAGCGATGTTTACAAGAAATCAGGTGGATGGAGTGGCTGCCCAGAAAAATGAGGAGCCTGGAGCTCAGGGGCGGTGAACCAGGTGTGTGCAGAGGAGCTTCCAGTGCTACAGACGCGTCCCTCCTGCAGGTGCCATTGTTACCATCGGGGTGTCGTGGCCACTGCTCCCTAGAGACTGTCTGGAGAGTTTTTGATACTGAACTCAGGTGGGGTTCTCATCTTGGGGGGAGATCTGAGTATTTGATTGTCTCCAACCTCTACTTGGAGAGACGCAATCATTTGAAATCAACGGAGCCTACCAGGGCCTCACATTCCTACCTGTTAGACTCAGCTGGGGGGCACCCAGGGGGTCACCCAGCTGATGCTGGCTGCATGAAGGAAGGGAGGGATGCCGTGTGCAAACCTGGACTGTTTGTGGGTAAACAAGTTAGTGTGGCTTCGAGTTCATTAATAGAGACACGTTTGTGAATACTCATTCAACGACCAGTATTTATTTCTTGAGTGTGCCAGGCCCTGCACCACAGCGAGGAGCAGAAGTGCCCAAATCCCTGCCCTCATGGGGTTACATTCTGGGAGGGAGAGGGTCAATCAACATACAAGCAGAACAGCTCTGTCAGGTGGTGCTGAGTGCTCCGGAGAGAAATGAAGGGAGGAGGACAGAGAGGCTCACTGGGGATGGTTACAGGACTTGGGCGTGGAGGTCAGGGAAGCCTTTTTTGATAAGGTTGCATTTGTGCAAAGACTCAGGGAAGTGAGGGAGAGGGCCATGTGGGCTCTGGGGACGAGTGTCTGGCAGTGCAGAGGCCCCGCGGCAGCACGGGAAATGGCAGGAGTGCGCTCGGCAGCGTGGCTGGAGCGCAGTGGTGGTGCAGGGAGGAGGCAGGTCATGCGGGCCTGTGGGCCACGGGGTGGGTGTGGGCTTTTACTCAGCTGTGGTGGAGAGCCATTGGGTTTTGAGCAAAGGACCAACACGACATGACTTTCATTTCAAAATTGCCACTCTCACCACCAGGTTGAGGAACAGGGCAGGAGCAGGGAGGCCACTAGGAGGCGGTTTTAATAATTTCAGTGAGACATGCTGGTGGCTTGGACCGGGATGGAGGCCCTGGTTGATAGAGGCACTGAGACGGTGGGATTCTGGGTGGAAGATGGAGCCAACAGGCTTTCTCCCAGAGAGGCGTGAGAGAGCAAGGGGCATCAGTGGGGGCTCCCCGGGGGGCTTCGAGGTTTCTGGCCTGAGCAACAGAAAGGACAGAGCTGCTGGTGACGAGCACGTGCTAGATGGTGGGAGCGGCAGATTTGGGGTAAGTCGCCGTCTACTAGACCCCCTGGAGCTGTTGGGGAGATGGCTGACGTGTGAGTCAGGAGTTCAGGGGAGGAGGACATGCCCCACGTATTAAAGAAACAAAAATGGAGGGCAAGGTGGAAGCAGTGTGCAGAAAGACAAATGCCGATGCCAGAACATTCTGGACTACGTACGCTGGTCAGGTGCCTCCAGCAGACCGTCTTCAGAAACTCTAACTGTGCAAGATGACACAGTCCCTCCCTCCCTCACTCCCTTCCTGATGTCTGGGTTATTTCTTAATCACGTTGTTAATTGTGGTACCAGCCACGTTTTTCTTGCGTTTGGGTGCATGAGATTACAGAGATGTCTTGGCTTACACGAGCACAGGGGGAGGCGCCCTCAGCACGCGGGGTGCACCCTGACCCCTCTGTGGGTTGAGGAGTGGGAAGGTCCCTGGGAGAGCCAGGTTTCCATGAACCAGTGGGTGCCTGGGGCTCGGCTCTGGGTTTAGTTGTGGCTCTTTCTTCATGGTCCTAAAGAGCGTTCGTTGATTGTAAAACCAAATAAAAATCCTTCTCAGAGGCAATTTTGAAGGAAAAACAGCCAGTGTTCCTAAAACAGGGGAAGTTGATCTGGTGACTGCCAGTTGATGTCTGCAGCTCCTGTGGCAGGGAGGACGCCCCCCGGCCCCATCCAGAGTCTGACCCACAGAAGGTGCTCAGTCAGGTGTTTGCTGAATGAGTGAATGAAGCCTCATGTCCTGTGATGTTTGGGGCGGGAGAAGTGCCCAGCCGGGTAACCGGGAGGCCGGCACACGAGCATTAAAATTGCCTCTGACTCTGAGTGGTGGGTGCGTGAGGGTCCATTACACTATTCCTTCTAATTTTGTAAATGTTCCAAGTGTTCTGTAATAAAAAGTTAAACAAAAATTGCCTCTGAGCTCAGATCTGGTGAGGACCTGGCCCACATGCTCACGCAGCCAGTCAGAGGCCTGGGTCCATCTGTGGACACTGCCCTGTCTCCTTTCCCTGTGTCTGGTTGGTGTCCAGAACTAGACGTCTCGAGGGGCCCTGCTCCCTCCTCCTTAGGACAACAAAATGCTGCTCACTGAGTGTCACCCAACCGGGCACCTTGCCAGGCACAGCGCACACGTGACCTTGCTTTGTGCTCACGATGAGGTGGGAGTTCCATGTCCATTTGATGGAGAAGGAAGGTGCTCAGAGGGGCTGAGAGACTTGCACAGGGTCGGCAGCCCCCGAGCCTGGAGCCAGGGCCGGGCCAGCACACTCTGCTGCCAACCCTCCACCCTCTACCGCCTTCGGCCACTTCCCTTTCTACCCAGCGGGTTACCAACCCCACAGCCGCCTCTTGGGATGCCCTTGTCGCCCAGATGCGCATCCCCCTGCCCTGGAACGAGGGGGCTGTGGGACTTGGCAATTCTGAGTCCGTTCCTAATGTCCTGCACATTACCTTTTACAGAAGCATGTTGTGGAGACATTTTTTGGATTTGACGAGGAGTCCGTGGACTCGGAAACATTGTCAGAAACGTCCTGCAACACAGACAGGACGGACAGAGCCCCCGCCACGCCCGAAGAAGACTTGGACGACGTAAGCAAACCTGACCCCAGAGATGCCTGCGGTGGCTCTTCTGGCCTCTGACAGTGGCATGTGTTGCTCCCTCACTTAAAGATTTAACCCCAGACGAGCTGTGTCATCACAGCCCATAGCCTCAAGGGAAGGTGGGCCCCACTTTCACGGGCGCAGGGAATGGCAATGGGGGTGCTGGCAGCATGTAGGGGTCCTTTCCTTGCCCCAGCTGATTTCACAGAGGAAATCTGGGGTCGCCTTGGTGTTACTTACCCTTTGCAATTAAAATTTCTGCGTGGTGGTCTGTCCCTTGTCCCCCTACGTGCGCACACACACACACACACACCATCTTGTGGAAAGAGCATGGTTCCTTTTTCATTATAAAGATGACCCGTCACTTAGGAGAGAATCCACACAGCACTGAAAAGGGTAGCGAGGAGAAGGCCTGTCATCCAGGGCTGCCACCCTCACGCTTCCCTGACCGTCTGCGCACGTCCAGGTTCACGGCCACGGCACTGAGTGAGCTGGACTCACAGAGGTGCGGGAGCGGCTTCGTCCTCTCCCCCTCGCGCCTCCCCCCCGAACTCTCCTAGGAAACCGAGTAAAACGCGATCATACAGACACATGCTTTTCGATTTGCTTTATTCACCAACAGTATGGAACAGGCATCTTTCAGCCCCAGAGCACCGTGTCCACATCGTCCTCTCTCCTGAGCACGCAGGCCTTTTTCACGTGGACGCACATGGTGCATGTAACGTAGCGGGTCCCTGATGATGGGGGTTGATGTTTCCAGTTTCTCACGACTGTAAACAAGGCACGAATGCTCTCCCAGTGTTCGCATCTCCGCACACTTAGGCAGTTATCTCCTTAGGAGGAGTTCCCAGAATGCGAGGTGCAGGTGGGAGGGGGTACCCTCTATGAGGTGACCATCCACCTGTGGAAGTGGCACTGGCTCGGGGTGCCCTCGCCCTTTCCCCCTTGCACGTGACTCAGGCGACTCCCAGGGGGTTCCGCGAGCTCCTGGGAAGGGCACTGACAACAGAGACAGCGTCTTGTCCTGGTGGCCCTTCACTCCAGTGTCCCAATTACATCCTGGCAGCGCCCAGTACATTGAGTAGTTGTCGGCAGCGGTTGTGTGGTCTGGATGTTGCTTTTGTCTAAGGGGACCCTGGTGCTCAAGCCACATCAAGTCACGTGCTTCATTATGTTTGCTTCTCCGCGGTGTTAAGACCACAACCAGAGAAGAGGCCGACCTGCGGTTCTGCCAGCTGACCAGGGAGTACCAGGCACTGCAGCGAGCCTACGCCCTGCTGCAGGAGCAGGTCGGCGGGACGCTGGATGCCGAGAGGGAGGCCCGGGTAAGTGCAGCAGGCCCCCCGGGCTGGCAAGGGGCTGGGCAGGAGGCCTCCCTGGGAGTGTGATTCTGTCGTGTCACCCGCCTTTGCCACTTGGAGAGGACTCTGAGAGGTGGTGGGGGACGCATCTCTGTTGTGGTGATGTTGCAGCGTTTGGGAACCTGACGGGAACTATCTTTCCATCGTCAGCGTGATGGCAGAAGTTGCCGGATGAAACAATGCTAGTGTCTGACACACGTCACGTGTGCCGTCTGTTTGCAAGGGAGGCTTCAGAATCTAAGGTTCGGTGATGACGTCATGGCCTTGGAGACCTTGCAGACTTTACCCTCCCCTCCCTCTGGGCTGAGAGTTCCCCAGGAACATCCCCGTGGAACCCTTGCAGAGACTGTCAGAGTGCTCCCAGCCCAGAGGCTCTCTGGTTCCTGCTGGCCACCCAGGTCTGGGCCATGGCAGCCCTCACGCTGGGCTGAGCTCTACCTTCTAGTAACTTCCACTCACTGACCCTTACCCAGCCTTCAGGAGTCACATGGACCGGGCCCTGCTTGCTCTTCCTTCTGAAAGTGAGGGGGACCCCAGAGAGCACACCCACCCGTGCCAGCTTTACCCTGTGCATCCCTGTTTCATTCCCACAACAGCCCTGTGGGGTAGGAGGCGGCGAATGAGGCTGGCGGGGAGGGAAGCTTCTGTGCTACAATAAAGAGTTCAGCCTGTGACCTAGAGTTAGAGGAGGTAAACTGCTGGGCTTGGTTTGGGCTGAATCACAAGGTTTTTCTTAAAAATTTCATCTAGTTGCCAACATTTAAAAGTCCAGAGATTTCACCTAGAAATTCAGATTCCTGGCTTCTCTCAAATGCCCAGAACATCTAGCAACACCACCTTCCTGTTCTACATGATAGTGTTTGGCTGCAGCTGAGTGGCAGTTTCCCCTGAGATGGGACATGTGCCTCCAGTTTGCCACAGTCCCCACCACTCTCTATTACCCCACACTCAGTCGATTTTCCTTATTTACATTACCTGCCTGGTCCTTGAGGTATTTTGGCTTTTAGCCCTTGCTGTAGGTGATAAAGGGCCCATGAAATGGGCTAGGCAAGCATGAAAATGCTTGGTAGTGTTGACGATTGCAACCACTTGGTCAGAAAGCAGAGATTGGGACCCTGATAGGTCTGGCTTCTGGCTCACTCACCCCCTTGAAGCAACTGGCCCCTTCTCTGGGCCTCTGTGTCCTTATCTATACAATCAGGAGGGTTAGAACTGAAAACCTATCAAGGCCTTCAGTTCTTGAAAATTTTATATCTGTACGTGCTAGAACCTGCATGCAACCAGGCGGGCCAGGTTTGAATATGTGCTCCTAAAAATGAACCTGTTTCTGAGATCTGGATTGCAGTATCCTTTCCACTTCTCTGTCACCCGTTTGAGGTGACCTGCTCACTTTCTGGTCTTTTTTGTTCCAGACTCGGGAACAGCTACAAGCTGATCTGCTGAGGTGCCAGGCCAAAATCGAAGATTTGGAGAAGCTACTGGTTGAGAAGGGACAGGTGAGCAGGAATGGTCATGTGCTCTGTGATTCTTTGCCTTTCTGTCCCCCCGGTGGTGTCCCTGGGGCCTTGGTGCTGAGGAGGATGTTCTGTGGAATCTGGATTGTTGCCTCCAGAGACATTGGACAAAAAAACACTAGCAGAACCCAGAGGAGAATATCCTAGCTAATGTGTCTATTTGCAGAGTTTTTAAAAAAAACATGTTATGAAAGTCTAACTTGGCTTTTTCTTTGTTTGCCAAATGCACAAAAATAGGAAATGATTCCAAAAGAAAACTGGTGACCAAAATATTTCTTGACTTGAATCTGAAGAAAAGCTGCCGTTGCTCGTCATGATTTGCATGTGAAGATGCACCAGCACCTGCAGCTGGCTCTGAATTACTGCAGAGGCCGTGCCGCAGGATCCTGCCATGACCGTGTCACACGAGGATCCCGGCCCTTGAGCTTCTCAGATTAGAGTCACCTCCATGTGCACATCTTCTGAATTTGATTAGGCCTGGTCGATAGCAGGGCCCAGTAGAGACGCAAAGCCTGGGCCCAGGCCTGTCCCCTGGGGAAGGGGAGACCTTGGAGGGGGCTCTGGGTGGAGGTCCAGCCTCTCGGAGGGTAACATCCAAAGGCAGCACCAACCCGGGGGTCAGTACAGGCCGGCCGTGCTGTCCGTGTCAGAGGGCTCTCTGGTGGATGACGACCAGGACTTCTCGTGGCTTACGCAGTGAAGGTGCAGGTTTACTTCCTGCTCCATGCACTACCTGTCCCTCCTATGGGCAGAGGTCGTCTGCTCCATGTGGTGACTCAGGGATCCAGTGCTGGAGGCCCTGCCATCTTGTAACTGCCCTGTCCACAACACGTCCTCCTCAGCAGGGGACACAAGAGGCTGTTTGCTGCCTCTGCACATTTCCTCGGCCAAAAGGGTCAGGTGGCCCCTTCTCACTGTGAGGGTGCTGAGGAGTGTGTGTGGCAGGTGGAGAGTCTGTGGAACCCCGCCCCAGCACACAGGCTGGCAGTGGGGGCTGAGGAGGTCTGGCAAGGGCTACCAGAGGTCGTAGGGTGGGACACAGAGGTGAGTGTTAAGGGAAGGAGTTGTAAGAGGTTCCAGGCGGGTTAACAGGGGGACTCGGGAAGAGCTACAGAGGGGTTGGCGTAGAACTAACTCTGGCTAGTGCCCAGTTAGTGGATGGGGGCTCAGGTTGTGACTGAGATTCAAATTAAGGCAGACGGCCAGTAACTAGGGCTCAAGCAGGCACACACAGCAGGTCACTGCAGCGACATTTATACAGGGACCGACAGGGGGACAGGGGAGTGGCCAGCCCTCAGGAGCTGCTTATGTAACCGTGGTCCAGAATTCTCCACAGAGGCAGGAGAGCGGTGAAGAGCACACACTCTGGAACCAGCCCACCTGGGGTCAAATGCCGGCCCTGCCACTGAATTGTTGCACCACCTTGGGAAAGTTACATAATCTCTTTGTGCCTCAGTTTCCTCATCTTTAAAATGGAGCTAATAATAGTACTTAACACACTGGGGAGAGGGCAGTAGGGAGACTCAGCTGTAGCAAGGGCAGAGTCCAGGTGAGAGATTGGGCTTTTTTCAAACTCCTGCCCTAACTTGCCATTGACCCCAGCTTCCTCTTCCAGGCTGAGCTCACCCTGACTGACCACAGTCGACGACCAAGTAACCTCCCCCCGAGGCTGCTAGGCCCTGTGTTCTAGCCTGCTCTGCCCTCAGTGCCTGCTAAGTGAAGGGGCCGGTTTGGGGCAAAACAAACAGCAGTTCATTCAGCGAGTGCTTACCAGAGCCCTCGCCACACCCCAGGCTCTGTGCTGGGTGTGTGGGGTGACGTATCAGGTTGCTCTTGCTGCATAACAAACCACCCCAAAACTTAGTTAAAACAACAACATTCTTATTTGCTTACAGTCCTCTGGGTCAGCACTTTGGGCTGTGCTCAGCTGGGCGGTCCTTCTGCTGGTCTCACTCACAGTCGTTCTCGAGGCCACATTGTCCGTAGAGTGACGGGGCTGGATGGCCCAAGATGGCCTCCCTGTCCTATCTGGGCACTGTGCCAGCTGTTGGCTGGATCCCTTCTCATGGTGTCTCATCCTCGAGGAGGCTAACCTGGCCTCTTTCCCTGGTGGTCCAGGGCAGGAAGAAAGGGCAGCCCCAGTGCACAAGTACATTCCACACTCTGCTCGCATCACATTTGCTAGTATCCCGGGAGCCAAAGCACACCATAGCCGGGCCTCGCTTCAGGGTTGGAGAAACAGACCCTGTCTCTCTTGGGAGGAGCTGCCAAGACACGTTGTGAAGGGATGTGCGCATGGAGGTGGGAGAGAAGGTGGCGGACAATCTACCACAGACGAAAAGATGGATTGAACACGGCTCTGTCCTGAGGAGGCCTTGCAGCCTCTGCGGCCTGCACGTGTGTCACCCCATGACGGCACAGGGTGATCACTGTTAGGTGGAGGGAAGCCCAGGGGGCCACCAGAGCTGAGGGACAGGAACAAGAAAGTTCATTCATTTGTTTATTCATCCATCCTCTGGTATTTATTGAGCACTGGCTGTGTGCCAGGCACCAGCTAGGCACTGGGGATGCCATGGGGAACAGACAGACTTAGTGCCGAATGCTCATGGAACTACCTGGATAGACAGACAAAGGTGGGCAGGGCGTCATGGCAGAGGGCCTAGAATGAACCAGAGAGTGTGGCCGTAACCATGCAGGTCCGTGGGGCTGGGGCAGACCCTCAGGTGTGGCTCAGATGCCGGCCCCCGGGCTGCAGGGAACAGGCCAGGAGAGGGCCTGCCGGTGCCGACTCGGTCGCACCGCGGCTGTCCTGTCGGTGACACAGAGGAACTCCCTGTGCTCTCAGGGAGCGGGAGCCGTGGAGGAGGCACGCGCACAAACCTGCCGTTTCTCTTTTTCGGGTTTAAAGGCCTGTCGGGACGATGAGGTCATTTGGCTGCTGTCCTTTTCTCTGACCTTTTCATAGAAAACTTTAGATTAAGTGACCTTTTCGCTGACACTTTGTTATTTAACCGTCTGTTTGCTTCAATAAGAGTGAACATATTTAGTACTTCTCCCTAGGATTCCAAGTGGGTCGAGGAGAAGCAGCTGCTCATCAGAACAAACCAAGACTTGCTGGAAAAGGTACGTGGTCATCAACACCCTGACCCCGCCTCGGGGGAATCCCGGAGCCCAGGGTCAGCAGAGACCTCAGAGGCCCACTCTGACTGCCTGAGTCTCGCCCGGCCCCTCCTGGCAGCCCCCCTGGGTCCTGGCCGGCTCTCAGAGGAGGGACGTTTTCCTCATGTTGAGTTTGAGCCCAATTCCTGGGGGCCCCCAGCTGCTGGCCCTGATTCTGTCCTCTGGGGTGGGGCCCACAGAGCTGGTTTAGGCCACCCTGCAGACGGGGTGAGTGCCGCCCGTCCTCCCAGGGCACCTGCAGACATGGTGAGGGCCGCCCATCCCCCCGGGGCACCTGCAGACATGATGAGGGCTGGGCTGTCCCTCCGGGGCACCTGCAGAGGGCTGCCTGTCCTCCTGACACAGGCTTCCAGGCCGCCTCTGCCCTTGCTTTGGGTTTCCAGAGCCCCATCCCCACCCCAAGTGGAGGGACCTAAGGTGCTGGTCGATGGGCAGGCCCTCTGGCCACTGTAGTCCACTTCATGGACTGGAGGCCATGGCGCTGGCTGAATTGAGCTGTTCTTTCCCTCTCTGGTCATGGAACTTTCTAGAGCTCTCTCAAGGAGTTGTCTTGGGGAGTAGATCTAATGCTTTGGGACAAGATACTAGCTTTATTTTTTTCTTATTTCTTATTCCTTTATTTTTTCTTATTTATTTTTTCTTATTTTCTTACAATTCCATGATTTTTTTTTTTTTGTAGTTAATTTACTGAGTTGTGCAGCCATCACCACAATGCAATTTTAGGACATTTTCAGCCTCCCATAAGGACCCCTCATGCCCATTAGTGGGCACTCCCTGCCTCTCCCCCCTCAGCCCCTGATGACCACCATCTACTTTCTGTCCCTGTAGATTTGCTTTTATGGACCTTCTATCCTAGTGGAATCTGACCTAGGTTAGGCCTTGGCTTTTAAGCATCCTAGTATGCCAGAACTGGACGAGCCTGACTTTGCCCCCTGGGAGGGGCCTTGGTCTAGTCCCAGCTCTGTCACAGACCTGCTGTGTGGCCGGTCACCGTCTTGTGTTTCTCCACAGCATTTGGGAGCTGGGACAGGACCGATCACTGCCCTGAGAGTCGGCCCTGTGCATTGGGAGAGATTTGTATCCTTGGTCCTGCTCGCTACATTTAGGGGGACAAGGGGAAAGCACACTGTCTCCAAATGTCCCCCTGGGACGGCCACCTCAGTGGAGAAGCCCTCTCTGGTTCTCCTCTTGACAGGGGAGGAGACAGTGGTGACCAGGACTCAGAGGCCCTCGTTCACATGGTTGTCTAAGTTAGTCCTCACTACAGCCAGGGAAGGAGGGGCTGTTCTTTCCCCCCTGGACAGAAACTGAGGCCCAGGGCTCCCAGCAGGTTTTAGACCCGGGCTGTCCTCCTCCCAGACTGACCTGTGCCTTCAGGAGACCTGTTCCACCAAGCCTTCTTACGAGAGCCCTCTGGGAGAGTAAAGACACACGTACCTTCCTGTGGCGGTTCACTGGGCGCTGTCTGGTGGGCTTCCCCTGGGAGGGCTGGACGGAACACGGACAGAACGTGGACAGAATTCAGACAGACTGTGGGATCAGAAGCACTCTTGCTTCCCCACATTTGACCTCAGGGAAGGGACTTAGTAGCCCCCTGCCTCAGTTTCCCCATCATTCATTTATTCAGCAAATGTATGAGGAGCCCCTCATCTGGGCCGGGCTCGGGGCTGCAGGGAGGAAGCAGGCACCCCCTCTGCACCCCCTCTGTCTGCGCCCTCCCTGCTCCTCAGCAGAAGGAGTGCCCTTCCCTTTCTTGCCCTTCCTCCAGTCACTGGGCCCACTTCCTTGGGCGACACTGAGGTGGTCCAGAGTCCACGCACACGTCTCTCGGTTCCTCGTAAGAGCCAGTGTTCCCCCGCCCATTAACCCACGGGTGTCTCTGCCCTAGATTTACAGACTGGAAATGGAAGAGAACCAGCTGAAGAACGACATGCAAGACGCCAAGGATCAGAACGAGCTGTTAGAATTCCGAGTGCTAGAACTCGAAGTAAGAGACTCTATCTGTTGTAAACTCTCAAACGGAGCAGACATTCTCTTTGAGCCCAAACTGAAATTCATGTGACGCTCCCAGATGTTTCCAAGCATGTGTAAAGGGACGTGTGATCGTAGTTTTCTTTTTTTTTTTTTTTAATCTGTATGTTCAGAGTAATTTCACTGCCTTAATATGTTCTGGAGAGAATGCTCACAGTCGTCTTTGGACATGTACCAGAGCTAATATATTTATTGCCTACGGCTTGTTTTGCACTTAATAAAATAATTTGTTTTTGCAATATTTTGCCTTTTTTATTTGTGTTTCATTTCCATAACTACTTCTTTCCTGCATGCATAGTCACCCGGTATGCATTATGCAAACCCAGACAGAAGCACTGTTGCAATTGATAACACACCTTTTTACGTGACCTTGCATGTAGTGAATCTCACCTTTTGAAAGAGCAGGGTCTGCCCTGGCCCGCAACTGACTCTGTAATGTGTTTACTGCTAGTTTGGCCCATTTGCTCTTTGCCAAGGTAAACACAAGGTAAGTAACCAGGGTGAAGGCAGGTATTTGCACGGGCGGTTCAGAAAACTAGTTACGTTGCTCCAACTCTCTTATCCAGTGAATACAGACCTGGGCATCACAGCAGTTTTGGACTAAAAAAATGACTATTTGTAACTCAAACTACAATGCAAACTACTATTTAGCATGGATGGAGATTGACTGTTGTTTAAGGATAGAAATCGTGTACCGAACATTCGGTAACTTCCCCAATACACAGAGTTGGATCCGGTGTAAGAATATTGATGGTTTTACTGCTTCCAAATGAAATCTTGCCTCGGTTGTGTTACTGTACTGCCTGGCTACCATGTTATTCATAATCCTTTTTGTTTGTTTCTGTTTGAAAATCATCGACATTTTAAACCTCACCTGAGTGTGTGACTCGTTTCTCTAAGCACCTGTGGTGACCGCTCTGCTCCCTCAGCTGAACCCTTTGCATGAATGGAACCCCCCATTGAAGCGGAAAACCCTCCTTCGCGATGTTGGTGTTCTCTGATCTCGTTTTCTCCTCCTGGCTTCAGTTAAAGTTGTTTGCACTAGAACTTACCGTCTTGTACCTTGTCGTGTTGGCATGGACCGTGGCCTGAATGTCTCAGAACAAGCATCACTGTGCTCCTCAACTCTGGCTTGAGCGTAAACTGAGTGTTTCATTCAGGCAGCAGAAATTGGAAGTTACGCAAGGTGGTTGTTAGTCCTTCTGCCACCGTTGGAAAATCTTTCACAGCTCCTTGGTAGGCTTCATGAGAATTCTTCATGAGATTTCCCACAAGCGTTACTCAGTTTACTAGAATTTTCTTTAAGTGTCTCCACCATCCTTCAGAGCCGTTAGAAACCAATTTTCTGACTTTTGTTCGTATGAAATATGAACTTTCTCTTGTTACCTTTTCTATGGAGATTCCACTTAAATAAGTATTGCAGGTAGAAAGACATCCATAGAACCAAACCATTATGAACTCTGTTCTTCTGGGCTAATGAGGAAAAAAGTTTTCTCTCTAAATTGTTTCAAACCCAGATTAGCCAGGTTGGGACTTCGTGGAAATTGATTGAATTAATGGCCCCGCCCTTCCTCTCTCCTTTAGCCTTATCCAAGAGCATCTGCTTAGGACCTGCCATCCAAACTACCACTCCTCTTGGTTACATTTCTTAGCTGAATGACTAAAGAAGCCCATCGATTCTGTGGCTATTTTCTGCAGGAGCGGTCCAAAGCACGCTGACTTCCCTTACTGTAATTTTGAGAAAATAAAAGCAGTTTCATTGAAAGGTATAATTTGAAAAGATCTTCTCTGCTGGCCTTCCCATTGTGCTAACCTGTCTGTTGCTCAAGGTTTAAAGGCAAATCTATGTAGGAAACACATTTGAGACCAGAATACTGTTCTGCTGCTGTACTTTATCCTTGTAAGTAATTGGGCTTCTCCCGTCCTTTTTAAAAACATGTCACTTTATGTATGATTAATGAGTACGTCTTCTGGGAAAATGCTTGCTTTGCCTTCCTAGTAGTTGAGATTTGACTTATCAACCTAAGGCATTGGTGTGTTAGTGCGGTTCAAAAACTAATATTATGAATGAAGTCAGCAGATTATATTGAAAAAATGTGAAGCCAGAGTTTGGGTCCTGGCCCTGCTGCTCGGTGGTGTGGGGCCTCGGCCTCGGCCTCCCTGAGCCTCCATCTCTGTCTGTAGAACGAAAGCAGTAATGCCTGCCTGTGGGGTTGTGTGAGGATGACATGAGATGATGTGCCGCAGGGCACGGGGTAGTGCCCATAGTCAGTGGCTTTGCTATCTTTTGAAATAGCCCTGGTTCTCATGGAGCATTTAATGGTGACGTGTGACCTTCTGGGCCTGACCTCGCAGCAGGTGCACCCCTGGTACTCTTTAACCCTTTCTTCCTAGCCGGGTAGGTTAAGAAGTAAACGAGTGTCCGCAGGAGCTGTGCTGTGGTGCAGAGGGGTCCCCGGGGCTCCTTCACCACAAGGAGGCCGTAGTCTGAATGTGCGCTTTCTAGTAACTCCTTTGCCACTGGAATCCTTTGGTTTGTGCTGAGTAACGTGGGAAGATGGCAAGTGGTAAATGATCCAATAAAGTTCTGCTTTTAAACCGAATCTTTTCCCCAGGAGAGAGAGCGGAGGTCGCCAGCATTTAACCTCCAAATCACCAGCTTCCCCGAGAACAACAGCAGCGCTCTCCAGCTGTTCTGTCACCAGGAAGGAGTGAAGGTAGCGTGCTTGGGGGGGCCTCTGCTGAGCTGGCGGCCAGGGCCCGCTCAAACGCCGGGCCCAGCTGTGACGGGGGACTGTTTCCTTGAGCCTGGATAGAACTGATTTTAATGTGATGTCCCCTGCCCCCAACAGATTTTGAAAGTCCTAGTTCATTTTTTGAGGGTCACCACATGTCACTCTATCTGTACCCCTGTTAAAGGGCAGACTTGAGATGCAGCCTTGAGTGCAGACCCCGGCTTGACCACTTCCTGGCTCTGGCCCGTCCCTCTCTGAGCCTCAGTCTGAATGGCAGTACCCGCCCTGGGAAGTGGGAAGTGGGTGTGACGATTAACCTAGATAAGTGCTTAGCCCAGGGCCCGACACACAGTGAGTGAGGGGCAGACAGTAACTGTGGTCGTTCTAACCACCGAGTGTTAGCCGTGTGCCGGAGTCCTCCTAGCCCTGTGGGCACAAAGATGGTCCTTCTGACCCACACGATTCCATGGGCCTTTCTAGAAAGCAGTGCTGTGCTGGCGTAAAACTCCGCCACTGAGCAGCAGTTCTGGCCTGCCCCTCATGCCCCAAAGCAGCTGCTGAGAGAGACCCCAGCCCGCTGTGTGTGCCGAGAGACAAGAAGGGGTGTGCGGCCTTGGCAAGGAGTGGAGGCTGTGGCACCAGAGATGGTGTGCATGTCTTTGCAGCTCACACAAAAATGAACGTTGGAAATCTTTTCCAGGATGTGAATATTTCTGAACTTATGAAGAAATTAGATATCCTTGGCGATAACGGGGTAACTATGAGCCATTGGTTTCTGGTTTCGTGTTCTTGTTTTGGTTCGGGTGTACTCTGTGTGGCTTTTGTTTCGTTTTGTTTTACTTTCTCCTAATTTGAGAGACCTGATAAGTACAATGTAAGGCTTTTGTATGGCCGTGCTCCTGTGTGGGTGGGCGGGTCGGCCTTTGTCAGAGGTGGGGTTCTGAAGTTAGGTCATCCTGACAGCCTCTGAGTGAAGAGGGGAAAAAGCATAAAAATGAATACCCAAAAAGAAAGTGGAATCCCTCAAGATTTCTGAAATCAGAAAGTGATTATTTTTGCCTTCCTAAAAGGTTGGCTTGAACGAGGCCTTATTTCTAAAAGGTTTGGTGCCCTGGCGTGAAACCTTCCCAACCGGAGGGCCGGCCCTCAAATACGTCACAGCTGCCTTTAGATGCTGGCCCCGTTAGAGAGCGGGGCTGGTCCCGGGGAGGCCGCGCAGAGAGGAGCTGTCAGAGTCGTTTAGCGTGACTGTCTGCACGTGGGTGTGGGATCCAGTGAAAAACGCCCTTGCCCATTTTTGTGTTTTAGAATTTGAGAAATGAAGAACAGGTTGCAATAATCCAAGCTGGAACTGTGCTTGCCCTGTGTGAAAAGGTAGAGCCCGCGGCATTTCTGTCCACACACCTGTCCGAGCTTCCCAGCACCATACAAGAAACTGTACATTGGCATCCCGCTTTGTGTTGGAAGCACGCCTTTCAGTCCGTCTGTCTGCACGTGCATGCGCATGCCTATTTGTTCTCTGCTTGCAAGTCACTCACGCTTACTGTAGAAAACGCAGAGACCACAGAAGGAAATAAACCCCCATCCAGGAAACCGTCTGTGACATTTGGGATATTTCCTTCCAGGTTTTTTCCATGCCCATTTTTTAAACTTAGTTGACATCATACTTGACTTCCAGTTTTCATCATGCTTCGTAAGCTTCCCCCACGCGACTTAGTGGCCCTGCAGTATCCCAGCGCACAGCTGTCCCCCGAGTTACTTAAGTGTTCCTCCGCTGTTAGAGACTGAGGGTGTCTCCGCTTTTTATTTCTATTTACCATCATGCAGCGGTGAACATCTTTACCAATAAGTTTCTATCTACGTTTTCAAACCCTTCCACAGGATAGGTTCTAGAAGTGGAATCACTGTGCCGAGTGGTAAGGAAGTTTTTAAGAACCTTGATATGGTCAAAATGGTTTCCAGAAAAGTGCTACCAATTCTCCTCTAGCTGAGTGTTACCATAGGGCTGGTTTCTTGCTCAACATGGCATGTTGCTGCCGAAGAACTCGGCCCATTTGGTAGGCGAAAATTATAGGATGTCATTGTTAAAACTTTCGTTTATGTGAGTGCTAGTGATATTGAGTTTTTATTGTGTATTATTTATTTTCTTCCTTGTGCGTTGTAATAATCTTTCTTTTGACAATTTTCCATTGGGTTTGTTATTCATTCATTCATACATTCATTCAATCATACATTCATTCATTCAATATGTGTTTGTCATAATTATGGTTTTTCTTACTGACTTCTTTGCATGCTTTACATATTAAAGATAATAACTTTTTGTCATACTTGTTAAAAACACATTCCTAGTTTACCTTTTACATTAGTTTAGGATACTTTATGTATACACAACTTTTTATGTAGTCCTATCTATAGATCTTTTCCTTTCAAAGCGTACAAGTTAAACTTTAAAATGCTATTTTTATAATGATGAGGTCTTAATGATCTTAATCAGTATTCCTTCTGGAATCTTTGGAAGAACATTTAAAATATAAATAGTTTCTTTCCTGGGGACCTGTCCACCCTTCCACCCCAGTCATGTAAGGGGTGCTAAATGTTGGTGACAGACTTAAGACGAAGCCTTGCCCCAGGTCACACAGGTGCTAAGTGGTGACTCCCCAGTCACCTCACCTGACTGAGCTGCATCCTCAGGTGAACGGGGATGATGATGACCCACACCTGGTGGGCTGGTGGGCCCATCAGACGCAGGCAACTGTATGCTGTTAGGTGCAGGGCATGCATTCGGTAAACGTCCCTCTCACCGACAAAGCCAGCTGTGGTTGCCTGGCCTCCTGTAGTGGTGCCCTGGGGAGTGTTACATAAGGTGCCGGGTACAGACGCATGACTCCGTTTATTCAGCATTCACTCAAATATTCTCTAAGAATGAGCCTTCAGGTGCTGAGCACCCAGCACGCCCCAGAGGATGCGGAGATGTCAGACCCACCGTTCCCTGCTCATCCTCAGAGAGGCCTCTCCTGGGCTGACGCTCGGCCCTCCACTCGGCCCTCCACTCGCCAGCTGGGGGGCTTCTGCAGGCCGGTCTGTGGATCTCCCTGAGCCAGGAGACTGAGAGTGGTGTGCCCCGCAGGGTCAGTGTGGGGACTCCGGGACAGGGCGTGTTTAGCGGAATTGAACATTGCTACTAGGCCCCTGGGCCAGAGCTTGGTTCCTCGAGGTGTTTGGTCGGTGCTTGCAGATGGTGAGCAGAGAGCAGGAACCACCAGTGACCTGGGGTGGCTGGTTTGGGGTGGGCTGGGGCAGCAGGCATTGGTGGGGGGGCCCTCTCCAACCCCCGAGTCTCCTGGAGGGTGGCAGACTGCAGGAAGGTCCCAGCCTCTGTGAGGCCCGAGTTCTCCCCCACCCCGAGCCCTTCCTGAGACCCTCCTGCCCATGCCCCAGCAAACAGTGGGCGTTCCAGACCCTCAGCCTGGGGCCGCCACCTGACATCCTCGGGGCTCCTCCTCTCAGCAACCTGCGAGAGTCGCTTCTCGCTCACACAGCTGAGGAAGTGGGGCCTGCCCGGCACGTGGCTACAGTCCACCTTGCCCCTGTCACCCCCGCCCACCTTCGCCAGCCCCTGCCAGCTGCTGCTGCCGGCCGCCAGCCACCAGAACCCGCCAAGCTGGTCGGCCTGGCGCCAGGCTTTGTGCCCTATGAGCCGAGAGCTATGCCAGCCGCCCTCGCCTGCCAGCTCCTCTGAAATCCCACAGGGCTGGCTGGGAGCCGGGGCGGTGCCCAGGGCGACTGTCGGGGTCCCGACCCTGACAGGTGAGAGGGCCCAGCTCCCCGCTTGGGACAGCGCGTGGGGACTGACTCAGTGGTTTGCCATCGTCTCAGGAGGGACTCGCGCTGCCTGTCTGGGAATAAGGGTCAGATGTGTGAGCGTTGCTGCACGTCTTCCCCTTGGAGGCAAGGTGGTGCTGAGAGTGCACCCCGAGAAGACAAGGGGGTCAGCGGGACCCCCTGAGAGCGCTGACGGGGAGGCGAGGGTGACTGTCTGGTTTGCTGGGTCTCACGGGTTTCCTGGGACGTGGGGATTTCAGTGCTGAAATGGGGGCAGTCCTGGGCAAACAGCTACGAGTTGGTCACCCTGGAGCTGACGAGCTCTCAAGCTCGCAGCAGGGGTCAGAGGCCCCACCCACGACATCCGCAGTCAGCCCCCCTCAACCAAATACACCTCATTTTTAAAATTTGCATTCAGTACTGGTGTCTGACCACACCGAGGTCAACTGCACTTTCTATCTAGAGGCACAAAGCCGCTTTCATAGCGTGTAAGTGAATGTCACGTGATGGTCCCCGATGGTCTTGTGGCAAATGGCGTCTTGCCCTGGGTGCCTGCCTTCCCCCCTTCACCGCCTGGGGAAGCCCTGTGCATCTGGAAGTTTCCAGCAAACAGCCGACCCGTGTCAGAACCCCCAGACCCCCTTGGTTACCCCAGTCCGAGTTCAGGGACCACATTTTGCTCCCCCCACACACCCCACATTCCGAGCAGAGAAGCTTGACCACAGAACATTGGAGGGTTTATGGGTGATTGTGAGTCACCCCTCTTCTCCCTCAAGTTCAAAACCAGTGAGAAATATGGAAATTTTTAAAAACCAGTGTTCTCACTGGTAACAACAGATTGGATAATGCGGCTTAGGTCTGCGGCCACAGTCAAGCTTTCCAAAAGTTGTCATGGAATCAGGGCCTGGGACCTTCCTCTGAAGGGAGAGTTGGGTTTGGAGGAGAGAGACCCCAGCTCTGGGGCTCAGGGCCCTGCACCTGCGGGTGCAGAGGGCTGGCCCTGCGGGGGTGCCCTGGCCACACTCCCCACAGAAATGCCTCCGCCCGTCTCCCCCTGCCATGGGCTCACCCACCTCTCCCCTGAGGGTTGGGGGCAAGGCAGGCATCCCTGTCCCCATCCCCTCCCTCCTGGAGGGTGGTGCAGAGCCGTGAGTGTTCAGGTTCTCACTCTGGAAGTGAGGCCCAGTAGATATCTGGCCCAACTATTGGTGTGAAGTTCGTGCCCCAGGATGCTCAGGGCCGGCATTTTCTCTCCTCAGTTCACTCTCCCAACTGCTGAAAAGGACCCGTCAAGCCTTTTCTTTATTTGCACAATACGCATATCAAATCTTTTTTTTAACAACAAGAAACAAATGGACACCTATTCTACAAAACCTGTTCTAAGAGCAGCTTGTCATAATGATTCAAAACTGGATTTTTTCCCATTTTAATTGTATTCATTTTATAACTGGTTGCGTTAGGATATTAAAAATGAAATATTTTTCACTCACTGTCAAAAATATGCTTACCTATTTCTAAGAAACCACACATTTTCTCTTAGCAACGTCTAAAGAAATGCTCCCTGGGGCACCTGCTTCTGCTGCTGGCTCTGGGGGCCCAGTCTTGAGGGCCAAGCTGACTTTGACAATAAGGTGGAGGCTCTGTGATCGTGGCTTTATCCAGTCTTGTTCCCTCTGCAGAGCCAGCACACACCCCACCAGACCTCCGCACCCCCACATCCTCCTGCCTTCCACAAATGTTTGTTAGTGCCAGGCCTGTGCTGGGTAAGGAAATTTAATAGAACAAGTCCGATGTGGTCACCACCTTTGGGGACTAGCTGGGGGAGGGAAGCAGACAAGAGCAATCTGTCAGGTGAATGCTGTGACAGACATTCACAAGACAACATGGGGATCCATGGAGGGCACCTGACCCCATGGACTCAGGAAGCAGGGCAGGCTTCCTGGAGGAGGCAACAGCTAACTCAGGCCTGAAGTCTGAGTAGGTGTCAGCTCAGTAAAGGCCTGGGGCTGAGGCTGGGGTTGGGAGAGGTGATGATGTTCCAGGCAGAGAGAGCAGCATGTGCAAATACCCTGAGGTGAAGGAAGGCCAGCCTTTGTCAGGAGCTGTGGGATATCCTCAAGGACTTTAAGCAGGAGCAGGGAAGTTCCTCGAGTAAATTCGTGTTTTTGAGAGAACACGTTGGCTGGAGGGCAGAAAGGGATTTGGGGTCAGACATGAGCCTGGAGGTTGAGAGGGGGCCTGTGCTGGGTGGTGGAATGGAGTGCGGTGGGTGGGTTTGAAAAACAGGAGGAGGAGGCAGAACCAACATGTGGGAAGTGAAGAGAAAGGAGGAGCTAAGATTGCTCCCAGCTTTCTGGTTTGGATGAAGTGGGGGCTCTTCCCCAACAGAGGGACGGGAGGCTGTGAGCCCTCTGGGGGGAGCCTTGATGCATTGGAGGGGAGCTGTGCGCGGAGGGTGGTGGGGCGGATCTGGGCTGGAGGGAGACGCTTCAGAGAGAACATGAGGGGGCACGCAGAGCGAGAGGGGCAAGGCCAAGGGCGGGGCTCTGAGGGCGCCGAGAGTTCCGGGTGGAGTGGGGGGTGAGGATAAGGAGCTGCAGCCAGAGGAGGAGGAAGAGGAGGAGCTGGTGGCAGTGACGGGGGCTGGGGCGTCAGGAAAGGGGCGCGGTCCATGGGCCGGAGCAGGGAGGCCCCGCGGCAGGGAGGTCGTACACATTCATGCATGTCGTCAAACCCGGACACCCCGCCACACCCCCGCAGGCTGGTCACCAGTGACCTGGGCTTCCTCCCGTCCCTCAGGTGGGCTCTTCATAAGGTCACACCTGCGTGCCTGCAACAGCTGCCCGCATGCTCTCGGTGCCCACACGCCCTGACGCTCAGCACATGTGGGGCTCCTGGGCTCATGCCGCATGGCTGGACCTAGTTTCATGCCCGCACCCCTCGGGGCACCTGGCTGCTGGGGCAGGCCCGGGCGGCGGCAAGGCTGCTGCTGCAGGGCTGCGATGCTACGGGCTGGGTTCCCAACTCCCCACCTGTGTGACCTTGGACAAGTGACTTAACTCGGCCTCCGTGTCTTCACCTGCACAATGGGGTGATGCTGCCTGCTCCACGGGGTAGTCATGAGAGGGTCAGGTGAGGTCCTGGGCATGCGGCTGCAGGCACAGTGTCCAGCAGAATGGGCCTCAGTGACACGCACCTGACCCCGCAGAGCTCCCAGAGGCACACGCTCACAGCTGCACATGCTCGCGTCCACTGGGCGCTGAATCAGGCTCCCATACATGCACACCGACCGCCTCCAGTACATACAGGCTCGCCTGGGCACACATGTCGACACCCAATCACACGCACACGCGTGTATGTCCATGACCCATGTGATCCCTGAGCAAACTTCTGTCAAAGCCGAAACGTCTGTACAGACGATGAAATTCCATTTCGAGGACTTCCCTGGGACGCGACGGGGACCCTCTTGGGAGCCTCGTCTAGGAGCAGGTCCCCCCCACTCAGCTTTGGTGGAAGGCCCCAACGGGCACAGCTCTTACTTGCTGTGCCCCTGTCCCTGCTGTCTTCCAGTGGCTGAAGCAGATAGAAGGAACCGAGGCAGCCCTGACCCAGAAGATGCTGGACCTGGAGATGGAAAAGGTACAGACTTGAGTCCCTAGGAGGGTTGAAAGTGTTTAGATAATTCACCGCCCAGGAAGGCTTTGCACGTGTTTTCGTATGAATTTATTTGCACGCATTTCTAAGTTTTGCTTTTGTCCTAATGGCTGTTCTGGGTCATTATCATCCATTCATTCACTCTTTTATTCACTCAGTTATTCTCTTAAGACGTATTTTTGGAGGCTTTGCTATCTTAGGTGCTGTGCCAGGATTAGAGGTTCAGTAACGGATAAGCAGGGTCCCTGCCTTGAGGAGCTGGCTTGAGAGCCTGTGGGAACGCATGCTCACGAGCCGACAGGCACAGGGCAGCGTGAGGACATTAGGGGGGCATGCTGGTGATACGGAGGCGCTCAGCCCAGTGGCCCTGGAGACGCACAGATGTGGCTCCATCGCTGTCCCTCTGGCTGGCCACGAGAGTTTGAGAAAGATCCACTAGACCTTAGTTTCCTCCTTGATAGATGGGGGTTCGAATCTCACCTCGCTGGGCTATGAGGATAAGAGACTCTAGATACACAGCTTGTTTTTGCACAGTGTTGGCACATACGGGCTCAATAAATGGTGGTGGTGGCGGTTATTCACCAGGGGACTATGGGTGTATAGGGGGATCCCTTTTACCCAGCATGGGGATATCAGAGAAGGCTTCCCAGAAAAGATGGTTCTGGGGACTTTGAAGACCAGTTCAAGTTTTCTAAGTAGAAATGAGAGGTGAAGGAGGAAAGTAGAAGGAACAGCATTAGGCCTGGAAGCAGAGTGTGGTGTGGAAAGAGCCCTGGACTGGAATCATAGGCCTGGGTTTCCAGTCCACCTCTGTCACCAGTGAGCTGTGGCATCCAGAGCAAGGCACTGGTCCTCTCTGGCCCTCTGTTTCCTCGTCTGTAAAATCAAGTGGCTGCAATAGATGAGCTCTAACCCTGAAACCCTCAAAGCAGTAATAGAGATTCGCCTTCTGGAGAGATCACGCTGGCGGGGACTGAACGAGTGACATGGAGGGTGGGGGAGGAAGTGTACAGCGGGGAGACGAATCAGGAGATGGGTGACACTGTTCATGTGGGGAGGAAGAGCCGCATCTGAGAACTATTGAGACGGTCTTCAGGGACCACCAGGACGTGATAGAGGAATCAAGAAGGATTCCTGAGACCCGGGCTTGGGAACCAGGTTGGAGAGGGAGTCTCTTCATTGCAGTCAGGCGCCCAAGAGAAGGGAAGCCCAGAGGAGTTGGGGCAGGCTTGATCAAGGTTCCCGGGCCTGTGAGGCCCGAGCAGGGGGTTCACGCAGGAGTGAGCAGGGCAGACCATCACATCCCTTCTCCCCAGCCTCCAGTTGGTGGGTCCCCAACTTGCTGAGACTGTGGCTCTCTAGCAAAGGGGCGTAGATTGGCTGAGTAGGTAGGAAGAGCCTTGCTGTAATGGCTTCTCGCTCGGATCTTGACCCTGGGCGCCTCCTCTGTTCCAGGACCTGTTCAGCAGGCAGAAGGGCTACCTGGAGGAGGAGCTGGACTACAGGAAGCAAGCGCTCGACCAGGCCTACCTGGTAGGACCGGAAGGGGGTGGGACTCTTGGGCCCTTTAGACTCAAGTTAGAGGCTGCTTTTCCTTCGGGGCTGACACCGTGTTTAGGGTCCTCGCCAGTGATGCTTGGGCGCCATCAAAACACCATCCCCACGGTGTGCCTGGAATGACCGTACAGAGAAATTGTCGCTTTTTCCAAATCAGTCATGATTTTCAAAAATATTTAGTTACCTGGATGGTTTCTTTGGACACGCTCATTCAATTCTAGTAATCATTTGAGACGGATGAAAAGAAACTTTCTTTCTTATGTGTTTGTTTATATTTAAATATTTATTTATGCTTAAAACCCCAAAGCGAGTTTTCCTATAAGTAGAGACAGTCACATAGGAACACAGAGGTAAAGCGAAGAGTGGTGGCCAAAGGATCATCAGAACAAGAGTTACTTGTTGCAAGGTCCTGTGCAATATCGTGTTTGTGTCACAAAACTGGTCCTGGGCGTCCTAGTGGTTAACGGAAAACGGCATCCCATTCAGGATCATGCGTCATGGCTTTGAGGACACTCGAGGCCGAGCACTCCTGGCACTGAGGGAAACGCTCCCCTGGGCAGGGGAGTGAGATAATGAGATAGCAGGCCTTTCCGGGATGTCCCCACTGCGCAGAATTCAGAGTTCAGCACCACTCTTGCAGGAAGAAGCAGTGTAGTGGACGAAGTCTGGAGAAAATCTTTGCCCAGATCACTGGCAGTTAAAATCGTTTTACAGACTGGGTTTGTATCTAAGAAATGCAGAGTCAGTAACTGGAGAACAGCTTTCAAACCCTCGTTTCCACGAGTGTCTCCAGGAAGACAGAGAGCGGGTAGCCGGGCTTAGCACCAGCAGGGGATTCTGGGCGTGAAGGCCAGTCCACCTCGCCGTGAGCCTCGGCCCTCTGCATTCGGGCTCTGAGGCTTGAATGCCACGGGCGGCCACAGGAGACGTAGAAGGTCTGAAGGGATTGGGCCTCATCAAGATGTAGCGTTGACCTTCTCGGCTCCTATTTCTGGGTGCTCGGTGTTGTTAAAGGCAATTCGAAATGAGAGCTCACTCATCCTTCCTCGCGCTCTTTCCTGTTTTTGGTTTTTCCTTGATTCTGGCCAGTCTCGGTCCCCTTTCCCCTGCTCTATCCGCCGTGTCTGTCTCTCACACTACCCTCCCCTGGCATTTCCCAGAAAGCTCTGAGGAATACAATTTCAGGAGATATCGCAGGAACTTAAGGCCATAAAAAGGGGGGTCGGGCTACAATAGAATACGTCTGGAAAACTCTGAGGACTTCTTGGTCCTTCATGTACTGAAGGATGGGCAGAGGCTTTGAGAGGAACAGAAGCCAGCAGTTTACCAAGTTCACTGGGTCATGTGACCCTCTTTTCAAGGGACATCTTCCAAGACCGGTGTTTCCCAACTCTCTTTGGAAAACCTTGGTGTCCACCCTCTGTTGTCAAAGCACCATGTGCAGAAAGGCCTGGAGACCCTCAGAGTCCTGGTTCTGCAGAGGAGGCCCCGGGCATGCTGATCCTGCTACCGTGCAGAAGCTACGGTCATAGTTGAAGAACGGCCCACAGCCTCGAGTGGGAGTTCTGAGGCAGTGCTAGACCGACTTGAACAGTCGGGGAAGTAAAGTGTCCCCAGAGGGTGGCAGTGCCTTGTGCCCAGGCAGGAGTGAGGACGGTGGGTGTCAGATGCACACCTGTGCTCCTGGGTCGTCGAGCTGAGTGAGATGGGGCAGGCCCACAATGGAGCTTCCAGAATTAGAAGTGGGGTGGCGGGGTCCTGGCTGGAAGCTCATGACGTGGGGGTCTCCTAGGAGCTCAGCTGCTGAACGGAGAGGGGGTGAGCCAGAGGCACAGGCAAGCTCCTGCTCCATGTGGAGCCCACACGGGACCCCTGGCTGTGCTGGTGGACGCACTCCCACCTTCTAATTTCCCAGGGGTGACGGCTGGGGTGGGGAGAGGGGAAGGTGATGATGTCTGTTGGTTAAAATTGGTCCTGGCTTGCTGGGCCTGGCATTCCTCTAGAGAGTTGGCACAGCCGTACCGAAGCTAGAGGGGACTGGAGGAGCAGGTGGCCATACAGTTGCAGACGGTTACCCCTTGGCCCCCTGCCTCAAACCACCTCTCACCTCTTCTTGGCAGTTTCCAGGTGATGGTTGGTCTACACCGTCTTAGGAAGAGAAGGCCCTGCTCCTCGCCAAGCCTGTGGGTGGGGATTTAGGGAGACAGAAAGGGAGACAATTCTCTCTTTTGTCCCTAGATATTCCCGTAAGGTAACTATAAGTAACTGTCTTGCTCTGAAGTCGAAAAGAGATAACTTCCTCCAATGGTTAAAGCTCTGACTTGCGCAAGGATCCTCCAGTTCGCCACTAATCTCTCATTTGCTTTGCTAACGTGGGGTGTCTTGCTTTTTCAGGGGGGAGGGAGCCATTAGAACATTGTCACTATTTGCTTTAGGTGAAAATTGCCTTCCTAACTAGCCAGCTGGAAACCGGAGGTGTGCAAAGTGAGCCGTATTTTTCCATTGGCACCCGCTGTACAAGGGGAGATCTGTTCCCAAGGTGGGGAAGTAAATCGGAAGCCAGGGATAAAACAAAAACCGTTTGAATCCAGCCTCTCTTCAAGTCACGCATTTTAAGGGATGGTTATGCTTATTTCTTCTTATTGTCCTGTCCCCTCGTGTGCAGAGTAGGGCATCTTGATTGACTAGACAAAGACGTGTTCCCAAAAATATGTGTACAGGGCTGGAAGGGGCTTCCCCACCCCCAGACTGCTGGCTCCTCTGCTCGGCCCCTGCACGCCTGCCTCCCCTCCCTGCCCCAGATCCCCGAGCTCTGCCTCCCTCCGCTGCAGTGTCCTGGTGACTACTGTCCACCCATTTGCAACCTTCCACTGTCTGTGTGATTTGGGCCACTCAGAGGATCCAGGAGCTGGAGGCCACGCTGTACAACGCGCTGCAGCAGGAGCCGGGGCGGAGGGCCAGCGAGGCGCTGAGCGAGGGCCAGCGGGAGGACCTGCAGGCCGCCGTGGAGAAGGTGCGCAGGCAGATCCTGAGGCAGAGCCGGGAGTTCGACAGCCAGATCCTGCGGGAGCGCATGGAGCTGCTGCAGCAGGCCCAGCAGGTGAGGGGCAGGGGCCTGGCGCGGGGGCAGGGGCCTGGTGCGGGCACCACTTGCCACCTCCCGGCTGCTCCACCCCCACTTGCCCCCTGTTGGTGCGCTGACACCTCTGATGGGCGCATGGGTGTCCCAGGCGTGTTCGATGGAGAGCTGGTGGTACTGAAAGTTTAGGTGAAGCAAGGCGTGTCTTCTCATGGGTGCCCTCATAACAGGACAGGTGTATTCCCCAGTGACAGGGAAGACGTGGGACCCTTGGGCATAATATACAGCAAACTTTTTCTAATATACATTTAAACAATAAGGTGCCCACCCCTGCTAAATGGTAATAGAAACCAAAGCAAGGTGCCCCTCGGCCCTCTTCCTCCAGGATCCACGTTCTGTTTCAAAGTCAGGTTCTTATAACCAGGAAGTGCTGGCTGAATGGTTTGCTTTTTGGCTGCATTTTGTGATGATGGCTAATTTGAGGACTGGACCCGGAGCTGCCTTAGTTAACTCTGAAAACCTACATGTATTCCAGGGTGTGGAGTCCTGTGTGAGTTTTGTGTGCTGCTGAGCACACCGGGAACTGGGTTCCAAGGACTCCTGATGGTATGAGGACAAAGAGACAGCAGCTCGCACTGGCTTCTGTGGAGTGCTCACCATTTTAGATCCTTTCTCTCACGGCACACCTGCAGGGTGGGGATTACTATGTCCATTTACCTGATGGGAAAACTGAGGCTCAGGAAGGTGAGCTCATGTGCCTAAAGATGACACAGCTAGTAAGGCATCCTGCCAGTGAGGAAGGGTCTAGGTAACCAGTGGAAAGCGATGTGACAGAAGGCAGAGAGAGAGAGAGCAGGCACATGTCAAGAAGGAGCAGATGGGAGCTGTGTCTGAAGCAGCAGAAGTCCCATCGAGAATGAGAAGCATGGTCCCTGGTGGATCTGAGGAAGGGTGTGGGGGGAACAGCCAGACTGTATTCGGTTGAGGAGCGAAAGGAGACGATGAAGGGAAGGGGATAACTGTCAGCATATGAAGGACAGGTCTTCATGCAAGACTGGATTTGGGTGGAAGGACTCCCAGGGGCCTCAGCGACCCTCCGCCTGGGCTCGCCCCTCCCTCCCATCCTGCCCACTGTCTGCTCGTCTGCTGGAGCACCAGCCTCTGATGCAGCACATCTCAGAGCCTCGAGTGATGTCTGCCACGTGTCGGGTGTTTGCTGAGACCCTCAAGCTGCAGGGACACCCACACCTTGTGTCGGATGGAGGGAAAGGTTTTGTGGCTATGGGAGACTCCTGATCACATTGGCATGCTGCGGGACAACAGGGAGGGAGAGATGGGAGGCTGAGGGGAGAGGGTCTGATGGGCGGAGGGAGGGGTGAGACCCAGAGTGCAGATGGCAGGTGGTGGGGAGGCTGTGGGCATCTCTTCCCTGAGCAGAGGTAGGGAGGGAGAAGGAGGCGACAGTGTGAAGCCGCGGGTACGTACCCCACACACAGGGCCAGGGGGCTGATGGTGCTCACCCCACCCGCATCCTCAGGGAAGAAGCAGAGGCCACGTCCCCACGTCAGGAGGACACCCAGCGGGGAGGGCGTGGAGGGAGGAAGGGAGGGCTTGGATCCCTGCAGCCCAGGTCAGGGGGAAAGTTGCTGGTGCAGGACGGGCCCCTGAGGCTAGAGACCAAGAATTTGCAGTGATGATGACCAGAGTGATGGTCAGCGAGATCCGGGATGGGGCAGTGCAGGACAGGAGTGGGTGGGGGAGGGAAGGGGAGGCAAAAGGGCCAGTTACCATCAAAGCCATCTTGGCACGGGACTACAGGTGGGGGGCATTTGCATTCACCGGCCGTATCTGTTATGGCCACATAGCTAGTGAAAAGTTGCCTGAGGCGCACCCAGGCCGGTGGGGAGCCCAAATACGGGACAGATCCTGACCATCTCATGTGGCAGGGCTGTTCCATCTGCGTGCACCAAGTCCAGAGTGGGTGCGAGGGAGGGTCTCTTTCCTGGGGAGGCTGGGCAGGCTCCTGATGGAAGGGCCAGCTGAGCCAGGTCATGAAGATAATTAGGAAGAGGCCTGGTGGCTATCAAGGAGGATAGCATTTCAGACAGCAGCACAGCATGGTGTTAGACGGGAGCAGGGTGGGGAGCAGAGTGGTTGAAAACACAGACACTGGCATCAGGCGGCCTGGCTCTGAACCCTGTTCTCCCACTCATTAGCTGTGTGGCCTTGGACAAGTGACTTAACCTCTCTGGGCCTCAGTGTCTTCATGGGGATGGTAATAACGCCTACTCATTGGGACGCTGTAAGGTTTAAATGAACTAGTACATGTCAAGTGCTCTCAGTAAGTGTAGGCGGCCGTCATTATTGCCGAGTGTAGACTGGGAGTAGATGTGGCAGCGGCAGGGCCCGCCAGGGACTGGAAGCAGGGCGCTGGCGTGTAGCTAAGGCCCAGCCTTGAGCCTCATTTGCCGGACTTGCCGACTGAGTGCGCAGTGAAGGAAGGGGTTGATTTCGTGTTCAGGAAATCCAGCTCAAAGCAGAACATTTGTGCGTTTGAACCAAAAAGTCATTACCCCACCCGAGGGTTCAAATCCCACGAGGGTTCAAATCCCCCGAGGGTGCTGCTTGTGGTTTACGTCTGAAGTGTGTGAGGCGCCAGCCTAAGGCACACGGCGTTTGGTCGGGACTCCCGGAAAGCACTGTGTCCCGCGTACTAAGAAAAAAAGGGACCTGAGTGACAAAGAGAAGGAAAAAAAGCAGAAAGCCAGCTGTGCTGCCGTGTGGGCACATTGAGGACTGGGGTGCCTTGGAGAAAATCACTTAAAATGTAAGTGTTGGGGTGTTGGTGTAAGATCATAGGGGACAAATCCTTCCTCTTCTGTGGCTGTTGGCCGGTCTGGTACATGGCACATCCCTAAGCGAGGAGACAGCTGATTAATAGATTGAACCAGGGCTGGGAACGCTTCTCCTTTATCTCCGGATCATTTTCAGATTAGTTGGGAATTCAGCTGAAGGTAAATAGGAGCCACCCTTCCTCTCACTGAAAATGAAAACTGCCTTCACATTCCTTGAAATACACTGATCTGGGCCGGCCCCGTGGCTTAGCGGTTAAGTGCGCGCACTCCACTACCGGCGGCCCGGGTTCGGATCCTGGGCGCGCACCAACGCACTGCTTGTCCGGCCATGTTGAGGCCGTGTCCCACATACAGCAACTAGAAGCATGTGCAACTATGATATACAACTATCTACTGGGGCTTTGGGGAGAAAAAGGGGGGGGGGAGAAAAAAAAGTAGGAGGATTGGCAATAGATGTTAGCTCAGGGCCAGTCTCCCTCAGCAAAAAGAGGAGGATTGGCATGAATGTTAGCTCAGGGCTGGTCTTCCTCACCAAAAAAAAAAAAAAAATACACTGACCTGTGTCTGTCAGCATGTACAACATTGGTTAGTGTACATGTATAACACTGGTTAGTGTACATATACAACACAGATTAGTGTACATATACAACACTGGTTAGCATACATATGTAACACTGGTGAGTGTACATATATAACACTGGTGAGTGTATTCCTCTGAGGCTTTAATGAGATAAGACATGCAAACCTATTAGCTGGTGCCTGGCACATGGTCGTGTTCAGTAACAGGAAGACTCTCTCTGGATAATAACACATGTGGACGTCAACACCCAGGCAGCGTTCTGTCTACCCTGGCTACTCAAAGTGTGGTCCATGGACCAGCAGCATCAGCATCAGCTAGGAGCTGGTAGAAATGCAGACTCTCAGGCCCCGCCCCAGATCTCCTGAATGGGATTCTGCATTTAACAAGATTCCCAGGCGATTTCTGTGCCACTTAAAGTCGTTAAATTTTAGTTAGTCCTAGAGATACATGGCTATGAGTTACAGAGGAGTGTAAGCTTCTGTCTTAGTCAACTCAGGCTGCCATAAAAAAATACCAGACTGGGTGGCTTAAACAACAGACATTTATTTCTCACGGTTCTGGAGGCTGGACATCCAAAATCAACGTGCTGGCTGATTCGGTTACTGGTGAGGGCTCTCTTCCTGGCTTGTAGACGGCCACCTTCTCTCTGTGTCCTCACATGGCAAGAGAGGTGGAGGGGGGCACAGGGACACGAAGGAAGGAGAGAAAGAGAGACGGGGAGAGGGAGAGAAAGAGAGGGAGGGATAGGGAGAGAAAGAGAGAGATTATCTTCTTCTAAAACCACTGATCATATTGGATTAGGGTCTCACCCTATGACCTCGTTGAACCTTAATTACCTCCTAAGACTCTATTTCCAAATACAGTCACTCTGGGGGTTAGGGCTTCAACATACGAATCTAGGGGGGGGACACAGTTCAGTCCATAGCAGGGTCTCATTACTTTTTTGGTTTTGTAGGGAAATGGGTTCTCATTCCTTCTTCCCCTTCTCACTGCATCCTGTCTCCCTGAGGCAGCCCTGGGGAACCCCTCCTCCACCACATCCTGCCGTAGGCTTCGGGGACGGGGCTCCTCCTCTCCCTGCTCCGGCTCAGCTCCGGGACTGTGGGCGAGGCTCACCCTCCTGGCCTCACACGCTCCATCTGTTCTCCGGGGAGTTCGGAGCAGCTCCACCTGCAGGCTTTGCCTCGAGGGGCCTGTGTCACCAGCAGCTGGAAATGCTAGGCCAGCTCTCCCAGGGTGGCACAGATGTAACTGACGATACCGTGACGCTCACAGACTCTTGTCCCCCTCCCTGCCGAGTGTCACACGTGTAATAGCAGCAGGAAGCAGGGCCCCAGCCGGCGTCTTGGTGCCCTCGTAAAAGAGGCTTGGAACTCAGAGTGCATCTGTTTTGCTGGATGCTTCCTCTAACAGAATTTCCTGGAATTGGGTCACCCAGGTGTGAGGCCTGGGCAGAGGGGAGACTTTCCTTACAGCAGCGCAGTGACAACAGCTCTCGTGTGCCAGGCCAGTGGGGCTGGAGTAGTGGACAAGGTCCTGCTGTCACGGAGAGTCTGTGCGTGTGTTCCAGCGAGGGGAGACAACACGCACAAATAAACATCACGGGTGTCAGAAAGGCAGCGCTGTGTCCTGTCCCTCCTGGATGTTTTCTGTCAAGTTGCTCTCATTTCCCAGCACCTGCTGGCCTGCATAGACCTCTGCTGGGACCACAAGCAATCGCGGTACCCTCCCCTCTGTCCCTCTCCCTGCTGATCCGTCCACCGCACTGCAGAAGCCTTCCTAACACAGAACACAGCACCACCCCTCCCCAAAGACCCTCTCTGGCTCCCCATGCCCAGAGGATAAAGCGTTGCTTAGTCTGACATCCTCAGCACTCCGGGTCCCCAGGTGACCCCTACAAATGCATTGGCCACCCCCCTCTGTCTCTCTCTGTCTCTGTCTCTCTCTGTCTCCCTCTATCTCTCTCTGTCTCTGTCTCTCTCTGTCTCTGTCTCTGTCTCTCTCTGTCTCTGTCTCTCTCTTTTGAGCTTCTTCTGCTTGATGTCATGTCATATTTGTCTGTAATTTTTCTAATGTCTATGTACTGAGCACTGTTCCTGGTGCTGGGGACACCGCACTTGCCCTCATAAAGCTTATATTCCAGTGTGGGGAGATAGACCAGTGCTGGCACATAGAAGGGGCTCTGTAAATGTTGGCTCAGTGAAGCTCACACCAACCCTGTGAGTGGGAACCATTGATGCAGTTTCCCAGGTGAAGAGAGTGAGGCTCAGAGAGGGTAGGCAACCTGCCCAAGTTCACACAGCCAGGAAGTGGCAGAGCTGGGCTGTGAATCAGATCATCAGATCACGAAACTCTTAACCACTGCTCCTTCCAGCCTCCCATACCCTGATAATTTCTGAGACTGACCCTGGTTGTTATCTGAGAGTGAATGTCAGGAAAGTCTAGAAGGAGTGCCAGCTTCTCAGGCTGACTTTTAAAGCCCAGAACTTGTTCCTGGGGGATTTTTGCAAATCCTTTGAAAGCTGTAAAGCGTTGCCCTCCCTCTGTGTGGCACTGTGGCTTACAAGGCACTTTCCCCAGGTCTCCGTTTCATCCTCAGGGTCATGGGGTCGCTGTGCAGATATTACAGAAGAGGGGTTCAGGCAGGGAGAGACTACATAACTCCCCAAAGTCCACCAGCTGGTGAGTCTTGCCCAGGATCAAGCCAGGGCCAGCTGAGTTCTGCACTGGTTCTTGGATGCTCTGCCTCCCCGCCCTGCACGGGATCCTTGGGGGACCGTCACGATCGGAGTCAGGTAACACAGTTTCCCTCAGAAATGTGCCCGTTTCCTAAGCCTTTCTAGGGTACGTACTCACGGCCAACTCTGCTCTGAGCACGGTACGCAGGTTCTCTCGTTAAATCCTCAGACCTGGGCAACACGATTACCCCCGATTTACGGACGAGGAACCGAGGCTGGAGAGCTGAGTAACTTGCCCAATGCCCCACGTCTGAGAGCATAAGTTTTTCGTCTCTTCTAGGCCAATCATTCTCTGTTTTGCCACCAATGTGATCTTTCCCTGCTGAAACCCTTCCCTGCTCCCCATGATACCCCTAAATCTGTGAGCTCCCCATCAGGGCCTTCTAGAACACCTGAGCTCTGGCCTCTGCTCACCACCTCCACATAGGCCCCACTGGGTTCCTTGCCTCCTCTGGGGGAGGCACCCCCCTCCCCGGGGCTCAATACCCTGCCCTCCTCACCTGTCTGCTGAAAAGCCACCTTCCTGAGGGCCTGATAAAACAGCACCCACCCCTCCCCACCCCGGCTTGATTTTCCCTGAGACGTTCATTCCCCCGGGGCACCATGTATATGCGTGTGTGCTGTTTGAGCCGATTGGACCACAAACTCCCTGAGGGTGGGGACCCTGTCTCTCACCCAGGCCTGAAACAGGCCCCGGGCATATGGAGCCACGTTTGCTGAGTGGGTGAACGTGCCCAGCGGTGGTTCTCAAAGTGGGGTCCCCAGACCAGCAGCATCTGCATCACCCGGGACCTGGTGGGAAATGCAGCTTCTCAGGCTCCACCCCAGAACTGCTGAGTCAGAAACTCTGGCGGGGGCCCAGCGATCTGCATTGTAGCAAGCCCTCCAGGTGACGCTGATCAGAGACCTAGAATCACTGCCCTGCAGAATGCGCAGAAGTCTCCCCCGGACCTGGTGAAGGGTCCGTGGAAGCCACGTGCTTACTTGGGCTGATCTGAATCGCCCGCCCCTGAGCCTGACAGCAGTCTGTCACCTACGTTCAGGCCTGGCAAGGCTGCAGCCTGCTGGGCCGTCGTCTGGGGGTTCCCGCACTTGAGGGGTGACGAAGCGCTCTTGACAGACTGGAGGAGGTTGTACTTGCCAGACCCCCTGGGTGGGATGCTGTGTGGAGCTGGGAGGAACGGATTGACAGACTTCCGAGGGTGGGTGAGCACCCCCAGGGGCATTTGGCAGGCGCAGTGCCCGGTAGGGCGACCAGCTGTCCCCCAGTCTGCCCAGGACGGAGGGGCTTCCCTGGACTCCAGCCTTTCAGTACTAAAACCAGGAATGTCCCCAGGCAAACCAGGACAGGTGGTCATCCTGGCATCCAGCGCTAAGGGGGAGAGGCTGGGGTGGATGCCGCAGCAAGGCCTGCCACATTCGCTCCTGCTGCCCCAGCTCCCGGGCTCCAGCTAAATAAAAGTAGGTACAGTCACGTGCCACATAATGACATTATGGTCAATGACAGACAGCCTATATGATGGTGACCCCATAAGATGAGTGCCACATAGCCTAGGTGTGTAGTAGACTATACCATCTAGGCTTGTGTAAGTACACTCTATGATGTTTGTACAACGATGAAATCGCCTAATGATGCATTTCTCAGAACACGCCCCCGTTGTTAAGCGATGACTGTAATTTGATGCCGCTTCAAATTCACAATCCCGCCAGGGCGCCTCCGTGTCTTACTCAGTCTTGATGTTTATGTTTTAGGGATCCTGTCTTAAGAGTCCACACTGTGTAATTCTATTTCTACACCCTTCAAGAACGGGCAAAATCAATTCTTAGTGATGGAGATCAGAACAGTTACTCTGGGGCCCGCGGGAGCCTCCAGGGTGCTGGACTCGGTGGTGGAGACGCAGGCCTGTGCGCGACGTCAGTCGAGCCGCCCACTTGGCATCTGGATGCTGTGATGCTCGTATGCTGCTCCACGACAAACAATGAACAAGCTTTTGACCCGGAAGTTTTACTTCTTCTGATATGTAACATCATGTGTTTCAGAGAATCCGAGAACTGGAGGATAAGCTGGAGGTCCAGAGGCGACATCTGAAAGAACTGGAGGAAAAGGTAGGTGGTCTGAGCTCTGACCACCCACTGGGTTCCCTTCCACGGGGTGTCGGCGTGGAATCTTTTCTGTTTTCCCATCAGTTTCACGATGCCCAGAGAACAGGCTGTGCTCCCGCCCTCCCCTCTTTTCCCCATTCCCCCCAAATTGGCACGTCAAGAAATAAGTAGCTCCTTCAAGCACTGTTCTAGGGAAAAAAAGTGCATTCTGGGATCAACTTTGTGGGTGACGGAAGGGGGGGATGTCTTTTTCACAAAGACCTTCTGCTGCACCCCTCTGACACCACCTCACCAGGAAAGATGAAACGACCCTCTTTTTTGAGTGAAAGACCAGCCACAGACAGAGGTTATGGCCGACGGACTCATTCACCTTACATGACTTCTATATGCCAGAAACCAGCTGTGTGATTTTAGAGTCCCTTCCCTCCCAGGAGGAGGTGGGGCTGGCCTGTCCCATGTTCACATCCAGCCCCATTTGTCTCCCTACAATTGTTACCATATTATGGTGAGGTGAGCCTGAGAAAGGCAGACACTTGTCCCTGCTGCCACTGCTGGGAAGGGATGGCTGGGGTCCCCAGGGATGTCGTAGCCACCCCACCAGCCCCTCCGCCACACGCTTGCTGATGGTCCGGGCAGACAAGTGAGTGCTGCTCAGGACCACGTGTGTGCGCGGCGTCTTTGTCACGGCACTGGCCACCTCCCGTGCATCCGCCTGGTGGCACGAATTCCTTGAGCTCAGGGACCAGCTTTACTTCACATCCTCATCCAAGATGGTTCTAGCCACAGGACAGGGCATCATCAAATGCTTGCAGAGCGAGTAATAGACAAGTAGAGAGAAAACCCATAATTGCACTTTCTATGTCACAGAGGTGAGCTCACGTGTGGGAACACGGTGAAGGACTCTAACCCCGTCTGGGGGGTCAGTCAGGGACAACATGCCCGAGGAGGAGATCCCAGGCTCAATCTTGAAGGGCGATGCGCAGTCACCCTGGGGAAGAAGAGGGAGAAAGGGCATTTCTGGGCTTCAGCTGTCTGAGGCAGGCCTTATGAGAGAGGAAGCCAAAGTCAGGGAAGCCACCAGAGGGCAGACTTGAGGGCTATCTAAAAATGGTGGCAGCCACCTCTGTCCCAGAGGGAATCAAACACAGTGTGCCCAAAGAGATAGACAGCTCTCCAGATGGTAGACGAGTTTTAGAAGCTTCCTCTCCTTTCTCTCCTGCGAGTTGGCTTGCACGCAGGTGAAATCACCTTGCTGGCATCGTCCCATCTCCACCTGCAGCGTCTGGGCCTCCCGGCCTGCACAGCCGGCGGTGTCCTCAGGGGGCAGTAGAGGGTCGCGGCTGGAGGGTCCGTGCACAGAGACTGGGCGGGTTCTGCCAGCAACCTGGAAGCCCCTGTGGGAATTCGAGTTTAAGTGGATTCCTAGGATTCCCCATCTGCCAGATGTCCACACCCCTCAACCTTCTGGGGCTATTTTGAGGACCCGAGGGGATCTCAAGTATAATTCAATTCAAGAATGTCTCGGGGATAAGCTGGCTCTGCAGGCAGATGTGTCTGGGCTCCGCTCCTGGCTGTGCCCCTGGTGGGTCCTGAGAGCCTAGGGGTTCATCCCCGCTCCCTGCCTGGGTCTTCTCTGCCGCTGGAATGGCACCCCCCATCTCCTGGGGGGCTGTGAGGGTTAAGTGAGAATGAGGATGTCACGTTCTGAGCCCAAGGCCCAGAGGCGGTGGGTGCTACCTACGTCTCTGTCTCCCAGCGGGCTTTACGAGTTTTGTCAGCAACATGTGTCACAGAGCAAGAAATGACGGAAAAAAGGACTTAACCATGCCACACTTGTTCTTGCTGATTAGAATTAAAGATCAAGTGGGATGGGCACATACATAGAGTAACGCGGAGTAGGGGGAATAACTGGGAAATGTTTGAATCCTCTTTCTGGCTCTTTTTTACTCTTTTCTCACAGCACATGTTTGTGGGTTGGTCTGTCTCCTTTTATCACAGAAAGGGCTTGCCAAGGCTGGCATACAGAGATATGGACTCCTGGTTAGGACTATAGGACTAGAAATGCTCCAAGATGCATGCATGTCAACGTCCTTTCCCGAGGGGAACTCCTGGCCTGTGCTGGTGGAAAAATGACTCCAGCCACCGTCAGTGGCTCATTGTCAGTAGTCAGGAACTCTTCCCAGCCACACCCCGCTGGGTGGTCTTGGCAAGTCCTTCCCCCTCCCCAGGCCTCAGTTTCCCCGTGTAAAAAATGAAGAGCTAGGAGATTCCAAAGGGCCCTTCTAGCTCTAACTTCTCATGATTCTAGACCTTGCTTAAAAGTTGGTGGCTGTCTGTTCGGATTTTAATTTTTTCAATAAATAATTTAGGGGAGCTATTACTTTGTTTTGGGAAAAAAAAAAGAATTATTTTCAAAAGCCCCAGATGATGTTCAGACATGTTTCATCTAATGACTAGCAATTCTTTTTGACCAAAGCAACTCATGAATAAGTTAAGGAAAAAAACCTACTTTCAAACTGACCTGTATAGTTTTTCCTTCCTTTAAGGGCATTTTTTTTTCCCTGCTAGTTTTTCTTTTTAAAGTAGACTAATCAAATGGCGCAAAAGATTTTAAATAGTAAATCTCTTGGGAGAGTGGCCCTGGCAGGGATGGTGTAGGGGAGGGGTTCTGTCTCTGCAGGATGGACTGGGTGACCTATGACCTGGGGTGGAATCTCCCTTGATCCTTCTGCCTGGCCCTTTGGTGGGAGCCACCAATCATGGCCATCAGAGGGTCCTTCCTCCAATTATAAAGTGTCCTGCCCAAGTCCTACAAGAAGGCCACATCTCAGCACCAAAAAGTCCCAGCCTGGTGTCACCTTCCCCGTCTGAATTAGCCGCATGTCTGTGGAGTGGGATTAGGGATAACTCGAGGTTGTGGAATTGCCGAGGGCCGGTTTCCCTGGTGGAATCGCCCCCTGAAGCCTGCGTACTTCCTCTTTCCAAGCCCAGTCCCACAGTAGTTCTTGTGAAATGCTGCCATTGAATTCCATACTACATATCTTACATCTTTTTTTCTTTTCTTTTTTTTTCCTCATTTTCTTTTGGTCTTATTTTATAGTTTTTGTTCCTTTTTTTGTTTTTCTCACTAGCATTCATTCTGTGGCCTTGATGACTTCCGTGAGCCAAGAACTCGGGTTGGTATCCTTTGATTTTCACTGAAAAAGTGATGATTTTCTAAAGAGGAGAATTCCTCCTAACTCTGACAGTGACATTCGTTGAGAGACGAGGTGCCGTGGAAGGTGCCCTTGTGGTAGATTCCTCAGCGCTCATGCTCACGGGGCAGCCTGGGATCATGGCGAGTTCCACCCTGGGGGGAAGATGGGGAGAGCTCACTGTGAATAAGAACGGGCTACAGGGACCTGGTTGCCCCCCTGGTGCATTTCACCTTGAAAAGGGGCTTTGTGGTTTATTTCCAACAGTTGTCTCCATTTTGGCTTCAGTATCTGGTGCTTTCTACTTCCCGTGGACCAGTAAATTCTCCATAGGGTCCAGACCATAGTGGGTGCCCGGCATCAGGGCTCTGCATGGGCAGGAGGCTGACGGGCAGTCCATGCCTTGCATACAAACTGCCTGGGAAGCCTGCGGAAAGAGCCTCCAGCTCCCGGCCCCGCTCCCCCTGCCCCTGACCCCCAAGCCTGGTTTTGATGCCTGTGCTGTGCTCAGGGCCCTCCAGATGGAAGCCATCCTGGCAGCTGGTCCTGCTCCAATCATTGGGCCCTGAATGTCCCCAGGCCCCAGCTCTCACCCTGAGCTCCTGCTCTGGCACCCAGGTCCTTCCCCATTCTCCCTGTTGTAAGTGCCTACCTTGGGGGTCTGGGGGTCTGCCAGGTAGGCAGGTCTCGAGGGCAGGTCTGCCCTCGAGTCTAGAGATCTGCCCCTGAATCCAGCCTGGGCCAAGAGCCTGTGAGCTCTGGGGATGTCTGCAGCCCACAAGCCGCCTGGACCCCTGGGCCAAGCTCTGATGCTGTGTCCCTGCCTGATGTCCTCGGGGACGCCCTGAGCCTGACCCCTGCACACAGGGCTTTGCCTGTGTCTCCTGTGTCCCGGTGCCTAGGCTAGTGCTTGGCACGTGGTCGAGGTTCATTCAGAGTTTGTGCAGTGAGGAAGGGAAGGATCCCAGGTCTCATGGATTGGGAGTGGGGTGGCCATGGGGGGTGGGTGGGGGCTGGAGGATAGGCCATCCGAGCCCTGTTTCCTCTTCCCCTGGATTGTCGGGGAGGGTCCCTCCATGAGCTCAGCTGGGGAGTCAGGTCAGCAGTGGGGGCAGGAGGGGGCAGATAAGCCAGAGGATTATTTTAACCCTTGGTTCTTGTGTCATTTCAAATTATTTTTGATTCTACAGGATAGAAAAAGAGCTTATGGAGTAAACTGAGTCCCTATGGCAACCCCTACCCTACTCTAACCAAAATTCAACAGCAAAGCAAGCTATTCAAGCCCAGAGACTGAAACCAGAATTCACATATGCTTGACTACAGCTCGAAAGGGAAGCCTTTTGGGTCTGTGGCTGGGTTCTGGCCAGGCCTAACTGTAGGAGTTCTATAGGGACGATGGAAACTTTGTCAAGCTCGGGGCCATATCTGAGTCCCCACTGTAGCACCTTCAAGAGCCCAAGGGGCAGAGACCTGAAAACCAGGAAACTAAGTGCAATTACCAGAAACTGAGTGACTGGGGAGCCGCTGCATTGTCTGTAGACGGGCCCAAGTCCTGTCCCTGCTCCGCACGCCTCCCCCGGCTGCGGAGTGCATGCCTGGTTGGACACAGACCCATGTACATACGTCTCCATGAACTGTGCATCCACACGCTGTCAGCCAAGTGACTTGCAAATGTCCCTGTGATCTGAACCCAAAGTCAAGCCCAGTCAGCAAAACCCTCTGGATCCGTGTGCAGCTGGATTCAGCAGCTGGCAGCCAGAGAGAGAGAGGGCTGCAGCCTCATCCCCTGTGGAGGGTGGACCTCAAGCGACCTCAGATTTCCAAGGGGGAAGCCACTGGCTCCATCGTTTCCCTGGGCATGGCACTGTGGAAATCTCAGAACACGACTGTGCCTGAGACCACGTGGAATGAGGACGGAGAGGGCAGACATGGCCCCTGACCAGATGATGCTCGGGCTGTCTTGCATCTTGGTTGTAATTCACAAGGGGCTGCCGAGGAAGAAATGCTGGGAGGTGCAGCGTCCTTGGGGAACTAGGCTCCTTCATGGGGGTCTGAGACCAGGTCCACTCTCTCACAACCGTGGAGAAGGAGGCAGCCCTTCCTGATCTCAGGAGACCAGCCCCTGAATCACGCCTCCCAGGAGATGGATGGAATGGGGCAGCTGAGGAGGACAGGACACCAGTTGGTGACAGTCAAGCCCAGGAGGGGATCCCAGAAAAGGGAAGTTGCTTTCTGATGTTGTTGCTGTTGTTATTCTAGGGCGGGTGGGGGAGCATCTCCAGAAGGAGGCACCTGCTCACAGGAGTGTCCTCCCTTTGGAAGGAAGACATTTGGAGTCATAATAGATCAAGTGAATTAGGTAATGAATGTGAAGGAAAGGACAACCACGTCAATGTTGGAAGACCCAGCTGAAGGCAAGGATGGGTTGATCCCAAGGATGGGAGGATTCACTGGTCTGTGTTTGTTGGGCTGCAAAAGCAATCCTGCGATTTCTAGTGAGAAGAACCTTTGGAGAAAACAAAAATGACTGAAATTCAGGCCACTGAGGGAGTCAGTTGGGGAGGGAACCCAACAGAGGAGCTGAAAGTTCTCAGAAGGCAAATCCAAGAGAAGGATATGGTGATCAGCACAGAAGGGGCACCCCAGCCAGATGGGGAGGGATGTTCAAAGCAAATTAAAGGATTGGGGGGTGGGGCTCTAAGCAAACACACACCAAGACAACTGAGAAGTGACTGTTGTCTTTTGAAATCTTAACCCAAAGCACTCGCCACACCAGCCTCCATGACTTACCAACATATAGTGACCAAATGGGAACAAACTGATGTCTTTGCTTGAAAAACCAGGCATCTGAGCACTCCAGGTGGTGAAGGGAGTGTGGAGTCATGCAGTGAGGAGAAATGGAAAGCACGTCTACTTTCTCTGGGCTGAGGAAGCAGAGAGGCATTGCTTTGCTAACCTCTGTAGGCAGAAGTCCGGGAGGCACGCATGGGTCTCTGGGGAGCTCTTCCGACAGCACTGTGTGTCCATCCTCTTTCTGCTGCAGGACTGTGCGGGAGTGTGGTTCTCATGTCCTCCTGTCCTCGTCCTCTGTCTGCTCAGCTCTCCCAATCAGACAACAGGGCAGGAATGGCATTGG